AATATCAAGATACATGAATATGAGAAAAAAAAAAATGGATTTCAAGTTTTGGAAAAAATGCATCTTGTAACGCATTTTTGGACTGTTAATTTTCACGATTTTCAAGTTTTCATAGTATTGCTTGATCGACACTATTTTTGAAGCTTTAAATTTTATAATTAAAGATGAAAATATAGTTTAAGGCTATCACAAAGATTTCTAGTATTGAAATCACATTTCTTGACACTATTTGAAAGTACGCTTTACATTGATTGTTCAGAGCCTCGGCTCATATATATATATATATATATAAGGAAAAGTTTATATAAGGTTACAACCTTAAAATATAGAATTACTTATGCAGCTCAAAATTCTATCGGGAAGGTTGTTTTAATGTTGAAAAACTCTCTATTTGATCATCTCGACATCGAGATGTATGAATATATATATAAAAAAAAACGGTTAGGTTTTGAGTATTAGAAATGTTACATCTTGCAACACATTATCTAGACCGTCCATTTTGAAGATTTTCATATGTTTATGGATCTCCTTCATTTTAATTATTTTTGGAGTTTAATTTTTTCTAATTAGATATGAAAATAGATTTTAAGATAATCCCAAGAATTTTTTACAACAAAATTATACATTATGATAAAATTTGGAGGTACGTCTTAACTGGATTGTTTGAGGTTGCAACATTATAGAAACCATATATATATATATATCCAAAAAATTGAATATTCCCACCTGCTCCGTATTGGATTGCCAAACATGTGGGCAAGTCTAGAAAAAAAAAAACGGCCACAAGATGAGGTAATCCTTGCATAATGTTTGTAATAATATGACCCATATCATATAAACTCGTTGAAATCCAATCCGTACATTATTATTATTATTATTATTTAAAGTTCATTGCTCGAAGACCGTATATTGACAACTTTTTGCTAATAAGCGGGGTTCCAATCTTGAGCTGCACACGTGAATACTAGCAGGCCATCTAATACTAGTGCAACTCTATGCCTTCATTGCTGTTTGCGAAAAATGTCGTATCGTATGCTTCCCAATTACAAATGAGTGGGGTTTGTATACAGCCGAGGCTCTAAACAATCAAGCTAAAGCACACCTTCAAATAGTATCAAGAAATATGGTTTCAATATTAGAAATCCTTGTGATAGCCTTAAAATATATTTTCATCTTTAATTATAAAATTTAAAGCTTTAAAAATAGTGTAGATGGAGCGGATCTATGAAAACTTGAAAATGTTGAAACTTGACGGTCCAAAAATGCCTTACAAGATGCACTATTTCCAAAACTTTAAATCTATTTTTTTTTCTCATTTCCATGCATCTTGATGTCAAAATGATCAATTTGAGTATACTTGGACATCAAAATAACCTCTTCTAGTGAACTTTTTGAGGTGGGCTCTAATAGAGCCTTGGTTTTATATAAACTTTTCCTTTATTTAAAAGAAAAGACTATCTATCTTCATTGGCAATATAGGGTTTGCTCCAGTACGCGATAAAATAAGAGCAAGTAGACTTAGATGATCTATTTATGTGTAGCATCAACTTAAAAAAGCACTAGTTGAGAGTGATAATTTGGTTCGACAGAACGGATATAAAAGGGCAAGAGAGATGCTCTAATCGGTATAAATAGATATAATAAGAAAAGATATGGTGACCTATGGAGTGACTGATGGTATGACCCTTGATAAAACGGAACAACATAAAAAAAATTCGTAGCCAATCCCAAATTGGTAGAATAAGACTCGGATGATGAATATTGCATACCTTCGCTAAACCTCTCCCAAATACCACTAAAGAAAAGGAGAGCATTTTGGCCTCTACACATGAAACCTTGGTATGAGCTAAAGGCCTTTAAATAAAGAAAAAATGTCGATGTCACAAAATGGATTTTTTTGGAATCCATACCTTATCTCATTATATGAAATTCTCAAACTTTCCAATCTTTTTATATTATGTTGCTCGCTCTTTTCCTTGTTTTTATTTGCTAGTGATGATGAAGAGTGTGGGATCCAGTGATTTAAGAAACCCGTTATGGAGAGAGAGAATGAGGGGCCTGCACTCAGTGATTTAAGAAATTCGTTTTGGAGAGAGAGAGAATGAGGGGCATGCATCCAGTGATTTAAGAAATCCGTTATGGAGAGAGAGAACCTGAAGTGTTATCCATGGAAAGCCTGATCTCTCTTCCTTGGAGGGAGAAAGAGACATGGTTGCTCCCCCAAGTAACAGCATAGTTATCATCAAAAACACTTGAAATTTTCAAGCTTGTGGTCTCTACTGAATGGGCATAAAGAGCCTTCAAATTGAGGAGAAAGAAAACCACAATGAGCAAAGCCATGAAAACCAGATGATGGTGCACATACAAAAGTATTGTAAGCAATATGAATAGAAGTGATGGAGCAACTACTCCTTTTATAGGTGTGAAGTTGGGAGAGAAGCACAAATGGTGTGACCCAATAATTCTTGACCTACTATGTTAGGTACCTGATCGATATGCCCAAAACTCTTGGGTGATTGAAATGCCGAAAGTTAGGCCCTTAAACCACCTAGGATCGTAACATGCCATCATGCTCCATAGCTGACGTCCTCAGCCGCTCTCACTCTTTGGTGGCTCTCACATTGATTTTATTTCTTCGGGTAGATCTTTTCGTAGGTAGCTGTTTCCACAGGTAGCCCTTTATGAGATTTGAACATAGGTCGCAATGATTACACTGATAACAAATGTTAAATACCTATCCAATACGCCCTAAAACTTGTAGTAATATGTCAAATAAATAAATAACATAATAATAATAATAATAACCTTTTGGTGAAATGGTTTTGTTATTAATTTGTATTTTTGGCTCGCTAAATCACTTTTTTGAAAAATGAAGATTCCACCATGTATACTTCATAGACACTGGCAAATACTTTCTAAATTCTCTCACAATACACCCAAGCTACCAAATTTTCATATCACATAATTATAAACAATTGTGACCTTCTTGTACAATAGGTACTGTTTTTTCTATCCATTTGTCTATTTCTCTCGTGTATGACCATATCTAAGTATCTAACCACTTGTACGTTTATGTAACGTCTCTCTCTCACATCAAAACACGTGAATGGGATACATGAGGCTACACATAGCCAACTCGGACTCACCCTAGTAACTCGCGTTGGCCACCGTAGCGAGTCTGAGTATCTTTAAGTTTGGTGGTCCGACTTGGTGATTTAAAAAAAAAAAAATTATAAAAATTCTAAAAAGATAACATTTTTTTGTTAATATTTTTTTTTATGGCTCTTATCATTTTGATAAAGATTAGATAGTGTTTTGGCTATGAATACTTATTTATACATTTTTATTCTTCTTTTTGGATTATTTTTAAAATACACCTGTCAAATTGATTTTTTCAAAATCTCTTTTTTTTTCACTACTTTCTTTACCTCATTTAGATGTGTTATGTTTAATTTTACTATAGACACATTTTTCTTTTTTTGGATGATTTTTGTTATTTTTTGAACTCTTTTGCCTTGATTGGACTTGAGATGACGTCTTGGCCAAGGGCCGGGCCTAATTTCCCACAATAGTATAGAAACATAGCTTAGTGGGAACCGAGTCAGGCACACATTACTACATTAGTGTAGATTGGCAAGGGTACGTCTCTCTGCATGTAATCAAAATATCCGGATCAATATTTTAACGGTTCCCTTGCGAAACTGGTCCTAAACCAAAAATACGAACCGGATCAACAACCCGCAATTTTTCTTTTTTTTGACAAGAGAATATGTGTTCCCTACGATACATACACATATGTGTGCGTATAGCATGTTTCTACAAGGCATACTGGACAACAATTCCCTTGAGTAAAAGAATAACTTTGGAGATCTTTTTGATCCAAAATCTTGGGATCCATCTAAAGAATTGGAGATGATTGTTTCCAAGAAAAAGAATTGGATTTTAAGTTCTGAAATATTAGATCTTGCACTTCAAATATTGGACGATTCTTGTTTAATCTTGGGATGTTAATTTTTTTGAATCATGTAAAGAGTCCTACGTAACTTTTTTTTTTTTCTTTGAGGTTAGTTATTAGTAGTTTCTAGAGGTTACATCCCCAAAATTTAATGTCTAAAAGATATTCTTGGATTTTATTTGAGAGAGCAAATACACAGTATGCTCATGGATGAACAGAAAATTTTTTCACATTTGTTGTTGTTGTTTAAAAATCACGGATTTGACCCGGAAATTTTTTGACTTTTTTTATGTTTATATTAAGTTCATGAAATTTCTAATTAAGATAATTTTTTATATTTTATATTGAGTACATAATGCTGATCCAGATCAGGAATTGCCTATTCAAACCCGTTGAATGTGGAACTAACGATTCACGGCACATTTTTAGAAGGTTGCTTTTAAGAGCAATCCCGGTGGTTCATGTATCAGGCGCACATATGTGCATGCGCATGCGCTATCCAGTCGCTTCTCATGTATACATATAAATACAGGCCTGCTGCTAGGGTGGCAATGGACCCAGATCTGACTCAGGACCTGAGGGATAGATTTGATCTGGGTTTGGGTTTGGGTATGGGTCTAAAAATTGGACCTGGCATATTGGGTCCAAGTCCGGGTGCTGGTTCAAGTCCAATAACATTCTCAGGTCCCAATATATAAAATACATTAAGTATAGTTAACTACATAAGTATTTTAATTTTTGGGTTGGGTCTAGGTCCCACACTATATTTTTTGGTCTAGGTTCGGTTCAGGTGAGTTTGGGTCTGGGTCCGGGTCCCATATCATTTTTTCAGCTCCGAGTCCGGCCAGACCAACCCGACCCGTTGCCACCCCTACGCCGCCTGCATTCTTCAATGCTTCTTTTTATTTTTGAAAAGAATAATAAATTTTATTAGATCATAGAGAAATAACGAATCAAAGATTAAAACAACGAATCAGAAACAATCACAGAATCTGCATCCTTCAATGTTATGCGGGCATAAATACCAATTTCATGCAACGCTCGTGCTTTTATATGTCATTTAAGTGGAAATAATGCATTTGGATTTGAGAATTGACCTACATTAATGTCTCATAAGTTTGAGTATCATAATGCGTGTATAGCTTAGGAACCAAAAAAAAAAAAGAAAAAGAAAGAGAGAACGACATTCTATGAGGGGAGAGAAAGTTTCCAATTGACATTCCTAGAGAGAATCGGGCTAGATACCGGTGTGACCTGGGTGCTCAGGCCCAGCAAAGACCCGTCCTTAGCGCTGCTTTGGACGGGGTAGGCCATGCTAGGCCTATCATAAATTAGAAGGGGATTGCATATTTTGAGACCATTGATTTTTTGGTATAAAGAGGTCACAAATCACTTTTAGCTATGTGAAATCCACTAGATGAAAGTGTGTCACAACATTCAAGAAATTTTATTTAAAATTTTGTGTCTAAACTGGTGTACGAAAAATCGAACTGGCCTTGAAAACCAGGGCTGGTTTTGAGTAACCAGTACACCGGCTGGTTTAACTGGCCTAACCGGACAAGTCCTTGCCTGTCAAAAGAGTGTTAAAAAAATAAAAAAATTCAAAAAAACTATGAAAAATATATTTAAAGCATGATTAAACAAAACATCCAATTGAATTTAAATCAGTGAAAGATAAGATTTTAAAAATCGATTTGTGTCCAAGAGTATTAATGAAATTTTCAAAAAAATATATGGGATAATGTAAAATAAGTATTTATGGCAAAAACAACCTTTCCAACCTTTGTCAAAATGATAAAAATAAATAATAATAATAATAATAATAATAATAATAATAATAATAATAATAATAATAATAATAATAATAATACTAATAATAATAATAATAGTACTAATAATAA